GCTTCTCACGATAATTCAGAATCTGGCACCCCGTAGCCTTCTGCGATCGCTTTGAGTGCGCTATTAAGATTACGGTTCATCGCGTTGCTCCGTTAGTAGCATCGCCAAGCGACTGTGTAATATTCCTAATATCCGTAATTATATTTTCAGAAGGAGGAAAGAGTTGTAAAACGAGACGTATAACAATGGCATCTATTACAGTTGAACGCGCCCTTAACGCGATCTATTGTCTACCCTCAATTTGCGAAGGCTGTATAGAGCCGTCAGGCTTTTCAAAGTGACTAAGGCCCGGTGTCACCGACGTCGCTTAACTTTAAGCTTAGCTTAATTCGTTCTTCGTCTCTTTCCAACTGTTACTCTAGAGACAAACCTGAATTAAACTAGGATTAAGTAACGTTTCATGAAACCGGGTCCAATTTGATTATTTGCCATTTCGTGCGCGCTGTCGTCCGACAACAAATCCCCCTCGTTATTTCTCGCCGCACGCGCAACGAAACGGAACCGACATCGGGGATAAATGAACATTCTCACGAGCGTTATCTAATTATTGCCGAACGTGTCCCCGATGTTGACCTCTACCTTCGGCCTCCACGGCGCGCGTGCGTTACGGAGGGGTGGCTGATACGCCGCGGGGATATAACGGGGAAGGCAGGGCCCACGGGGTGCGAGAGATGACGATTTCATTGGCACGAGCCAAACGACTCGCGACATATGTTCACGAACAGCTGATGCACTCACTAATAAGTCTCTCTCTCTATCTCACCGGGCACGCGATCGCACGGTCCCGTACGCGCGTGTGCGCCGTCGCGCGGGAGAGAACCTGGGAAAGTAAAAACCCCGCGAGACGAGTGTGAGAAAATTCGTGCGCCGCCGCATCTGTCGGCTTACGCGTTGCCGCAACGACGGGGAACTTTGTCGGAACGCCGTTGCAACACGTGTGCTAATAATCGATTCCGCTGCCGTCGCGAGTGTGCCACGTAGCGCCATTATCAGCTATGATTAACATACGCGAGAGACTCGCTTTGACGTCAAGGAGCTCATCATAACACGTTTTTTTATTTGCATTGCAGATCAAGGTCCGAAATAATTATCGAATATCTTTGAAAACCAAATGTCATCTGGTATTACGCAGATTTCAAAATGCTGAGGTTGTCTCATTTGCAATATCCCCCTCGTCGCAATTGATTCGTGATTACCGCCACACAGGGTGTTCAATAAAATATAGTTGACGCGCGTTACCCGCGTTTCGGCATAATAATTGAGAAAAATTTCCATCGGATAAGCCAATTAAATAGTGTTCTCGATGGTTAATTTTTCCGATTACGTTTTTCGATTAGATTACGGACATATCCGATGAAATTTGATTGAAAAACCGATCATATTTTTCATCGGATACATCCACCTTGTTATTATGTAATTGGATTATCCGATTGTATTTAATCGGACATTTTTCCCAGTGTGGGAATATAATCCTCTATAATTCGCCCGTCGGCTTCCAGTCGACTGCAACGTTTCCTTCCTTCCGTTCGAGTTAGTTTCGCGTGCCACGTGCCGTAGCGTGAGCACGTGCGAAGGACGCCGTGAGCGCGACGCGAAATCAATTCTATATTGTCCGTCGACACACTCGAGATATGCAGAAGCGCGCGCTCGTGCCTCGCCAACACAACGTACAATGGAACTGGATTTTAAACTGTCAGAACACGAAGTGCCGTATTAAGACTGCTGTGTCAAGTGGAACGATTGTCAGCAATCGAGGATCGCAAGCTACGCGGATTACGATTAGACAAATTGCTAGACGGAAAGTTTGGACATTTGAGTTTATGATAATCCACGATAATCCGTGTTATTTTGAATTTTTCCCAGAGTAGAGTCTAAGGGAAGTTTAATATAAATATCCTTCAAATTCAACGTAAATGCACGTCTCTTGTTTAATGTCTACATATTTTTATTTATCGATTACAGCAGCGAAACGCAATTCTGACATTGTGAAAATGAGCGAAAATGGCTCGCTTGCTATTCAACTTTCGACCGATTCGCTGTTAAATCCGCGATTTCAATCTCGACAAGTGACGTAATAGGCATTATACGTGTAGAAAGTGCATTTGGCTGAACGTGCAAGCACTACGTGGCAGCGGAACATTAGGCAAAACTTCCGATTACGACACGCTATCCATTTCGATGTAACTTTGCATGTCCGCGCGATGTTTCGTGGAACCACGCGCGATGTTTGGATAAATCCGAATGCGCAGACGTATTTTTAGACATCTAAAGATTTGTCACTCTCTGGTAGGCGAGTAATAGTTTCGCAGGTAAGCACGAGTGAGTCTGATATCCCTCTTTAACATCGATGCGAGCGATCGAAGTGAATTTCGACCTTCGATAATTATAACATACTCGTTACCGAAGCTGCAACATATATTACAACGAATCCGGTTTCTCTCTAACACGACACAAATGTACAAGATAAGGGAAAAATGCTGAGATAACGAAACTCGAGACAGGTCATCCTTGTGCGTCATCAGCTATTCTCGGGAATCGTGTTCGGTTCGCTTTCACTGAACGCGCCCGGCTTTCGCGGTTACATCTACATCTTGCCGCGTTTCAGACACTTAAATCCTGGCAACATCCCGCTAATTAGATCCCACGAGATCGCGCGCGGACAAAGACGTCCCGATCGAAACAGCGGGGCGGACGAGCGAGACGGGAAACGAGCTACGGGGAGCGTTATCGCACGATCGCGTCAGATTCTATCCAAGTACCACCACTCGTTAACGACACGCGCAATTGGCCGATACGCGAAGGAGGGTACGAGAAAAAAAAATAGAACGGGGAGAGGAAAGCACGTATATAGAGAAGATTGGGAAGCAACAGAGAGACGGAGAGAGAGAGAGAGAGAGAGAGAGAGGGAGGAAGAAAAAGAGAGACGGAGCAGGAAACCTTGTAAAAGCCGCGGTAGCAAGAAGAGATTTAAACAGCAAAAGGGAAGAAAGGGACCAAATTGACGACGGAGTGGACAAAGAAGAAGAAAGGGTAGGAGGAGAGATTGCTAGGGTCGCAGAAACACGGAGGGGTGAGGGGGCGAGGCGGGAGAAGTTCGAAACGAGCGTGCGTAATTATTCGGTGCGAACGACGTTTAAGTATCCGAGCCCCGAGCGCGAAATAAGCGAAGTGGCCGGTCGGGCACGGGAGGACGGAGGATGTGGAGGAAAAACGAGCGGGCGAAGGGCGAAAAAAAGGGAAGGACACGAGGCGCGGCGAAGGAGGAGGAGGAAGAGAGCCGTACGGGATATAATTCAGCCGGTGGCTCGCCGAAATTAGTATCTCCAAGTGCAGGAAACGTGTCCTCGAAACTATCCCGAGTAGGAGAGGACGAACTACCGAGGGAAATTAGGGCCACGGAGCTCCACTTTCGACTAATTTTTGCCGATAGCGTATCGCAGCGCGAACGAAGGCGCTTCATCCGCGCACGGTGTGCGCGAGCAACGTTTTTGAATATCCGCGCGTCGTTTGACTTTTTACTCCTTAGTTCCTTGTAATTACTATCCGTGCACCCGACAATTACGCGCAATCGGGGCCTCGGTGAAATATCGCGGCGCACTCCGCCGCCCTGAGAAACTCACGCAGGGCGTAATAACAATAAGGTCGAAACGAAAACGAAGAGACTTGATTTTTTATGTTCGCGCTTGTAGCCGCAATCCTTTCGTTGCCGCTGGAATTAAGTATACGCTTACAATTTTGTTGACCTGCTTTGCGAGTATAATATCTGAACTCGATTACATTAACAGATGAAGAACAACGTATAGGAATTAATTTTTATTTATTTAACGGTATTCATAAATTGCCTTGGTGTACGTGAACGCAGCGTTGTTGCGCGGATGAACGTTAAAACGCTCTCGGGCGAGAATTAGTTTAAAAAGTGAACGATCCAAGTCGGACAAGCGCGGAGCGTAAGGGTAATTGTTTCCCAGCCGTAACAATCGACAAAATAAAGCACGGCGAGCGAATTATATTATATCGAGATCTGATTCGCGCCTCGACTCCATTCACTCGCCGCCGCGCGTGCTGGCTCGGAAACGAAGACAGAGAGTCGGGGCGCCGGAGCAAGATTAATTAATCGCGTCTCGCTCTGTTACAGGACCGGCTCCGTAACGACCGATTTGTCATACGCCGCCTTTGCACCGACGGGCTTTATCGCGCTCGTCCGCGACTCCCCCCCCCCTCTCCCCCCACTCCGCAGCAGCGTTGTTATGGGTATAAACGATCGATCAATCGCGCCACCGATGGGGCCGCGATACCATTTCGCGACGTCCACCAAACCGGACACGGCTACGGGATACGCGCGTGCACGCATACGGAGGCGCGCGCGCGCGCGCGCGATTCAACATCGTGTAGCCAGTGGGATTGCAATCACGCGCCGGAATTGCGCCGGACTTGTGCCCAGCACGCTCCTCGATCCGCCGAAGCGGGAGAAGGCGGAGAAGGCGAGGAGAGAGACAGAGAGAAAAGAAACCACGAGGAAGAGGGGGAGGGGGGTCGCGCGGAATCGCGATAAGAAGATCCAGCACGAGCATGGAAGCTGCGGCTGCGATGGAAGAAGCTGCACCTTACCAGGCGGGACGAGGACGCGTTCTCTAGTTTGCCCCGAGGTAAGGAGAGGTAGACGTCAGTCGAGATCTAGTCCTTCCGTATGAGCGCTCGTGGAAATACGGCAGAGGGCAGAGGGAGAGAGGAGCGAAAGATAGAGGATAGAAAGAGAGAGGAGGAGAACGACGATTACGAGCCGCGCATACCGTGGCACGACCACTCGTCGACGATCAGCCGAGGTAGAGAGCATCGACTCCGCGCCGCGCGGCTAGGTGCAACAAGGACGCAGGAACGGTGACGATGGCTTGGTGTGGGCGCGTGTCTGGCAGCTGCCGCTTACAGGTGGTGTGCTTGCTTGGGAACCAACCTCTACGGACCGTTCCCACGGAAGGCCTGTCCCCCACCGCGCGGCCCCATACCCGTCCCCTCGCCCCGTCCGCACGGGGACCCATGCCTATATAAGTCGAAGCCTCGCCCGGTCGCGGCTACAATCACGCTCTGTTCGCGTTCACTCGAAGGTCGAGCTGGAGAACGACGTGTCCAGACGCACACGCACGTTTCCTTCCGCCAACCGCCAGTGACTCGCAATCGTGAGCGACGATTAGAGTTCGACGAACCGACAGTGCGATAGTACGAGGAGGTCGCGTTCGCGGTAATAGGCCGATACGCGGTTGTCAAGTGAAGTTTTGACTGTGCCGCGAGAAAAAGGATTAACCATGCAGATGCACGAGCAGATCATTATAGCCGATGGGCAGGAGCAGCCGATCTCCAGGACGTACCAGTATCGAAAGGTAGGTGTCATCTTGACGTTTAAACAAACCGCCGCTCTAGTCGTCGCGTCAAGTTAATTCGCAACTTTGTCGTTTCCCTCGGCAATATATTCGAAATTTGAATTCTTGTGAAATTTTTCTTCGCACAAGACGATATCCCCGATAAGTCTCTCCAATTGTCCGTATCGCCAAACGCAATTCGTCGATCTACAGCGACCGCTCGTTTCGTTTCGCAGGTGATGAAGCCGATGCTGGAGCGCAAACGCCGCGCGCGCATCAATCGCTGCCTGGACGAGCTGAAGGATCTGATGGTGACCGCGCTGGCCGGCGACGGCGAGAACGTGGCGAAGCTGGAGAAGGCGGACATCCTGGAGCTGACGGTGCGTCACCTGCACAAGCTCCAGCGCCAGCAGCGTCTCTCGGCGAACCCGGTGATCGACGCCGACCGCTTCCGCGCCGGCTACACGCACTGCGCAAACGAGGTCAGCCGCTGCCTGGCCGCCACCCCGGGCGTCGACGTCGCCCTCGGCACCAAGCTGATGACGCACCTCGGGCACAAGCTCAACTCCATGGACAAGACCGGCCCGTTGACCATCCACGTGACCGCGCCGCAATCCTCGCCGTCGTCCACCAGCGAGCTCAGTGCCGACGAGTACCCGATGCCGCTGACGCCGGCGTCCAGCCAGCCGTCCCCGGTGCGAACCGATATCGACGCCGTCTCCCAGAGCCACCAGGGTCTCCTGCAGGTGGCCAAGCCGAACGAGCCCATCTGGCGGCCCTGGTAAACCCCCGCGGCGCCCTGACACGGCGGAGAAACTCGCCGCGGTTTCTGAGTGAACCGGCGAAAAGGGGAGATCTCGAATCCGAAGGGATTCACCGACGCTCGACGCCGGTGTTGCAATCTCGTCTGTGATCTGAGCGGAACGGACGCCGCCGCGGAGGAGGAAGAGCGAAGAGACCGTCTCGTCTACACCCCGTGCGACACACAAAGATCACCTAGGCTTAAGGGGAGTTCCACTTGCTCAAAGGCACTCGGACCGACTCGAGGCGGGTGTGTCGTGCACCACCAGCGGACTCGGCGATGTCCCGCGGGAGTCGGACAGCACCTGGGATCTCGATACGTAGTTTTACTCGCGGCCAAGCGCGGCTGAAGCTTTAATTTACTCGACAGTTAGATGTTTTCTATTGTTTATTTCATACTTTTATCGAGGATGTTTTTTTTTCTTTGAATTTTCTCACCGACGGTAACGTTGTTGTATAAGTCTTTCCACCGGTCGACAACATCGGACGTGGGACAACGACGACGGGCGGCCCCCACGGGGGGCGGCGATCTCGGTGATCCCGCGAAGCGCGCGTCCGTTTGTCACATCGCGTGACGCGAACGATATATGTATAAATGACCGAGCGGAGGATCTTGTGATAGAGAAACGTGTACCTGTGATATTTACTGTAGTAGACGTAGAGAATGATAGTAGATTTTTAATAAACATGTTTCGTATCAGCAATGCATTCACGTGATTTCGATTTGCAGCCCACCCGATATAGATATAGATTAAGCCTGAACTATCTCTAGCGGTAATGCAAAATTGCCCGCTCCTCTCTTGCGAGTAGCGTGTTTACCTTCTATTAATATGCGCAATACGAGACAGAATCGCATTCTCTCTATTTTAAATCGGCATTCACGTAGCGCGTCGATGCGGATCGCAACTTGCGAGATACACTCAGCCTCGTCAAGTGCGAACGAAATCTCAACATTTCGCGCGTGTCTCTCGTACCACGTGCTTTGTAGCTAAGAAAAAGTTGTCAAATCGGCCAAGTAAATCTTCAGGCAGACCGGCAGAAAGAACGAGCATACGTACTCGAAGACGCCCCGCCACTTAAACGCGCGGGCGCATTTCAGAGAATTAAACTGCTACTTAGGACCAATCGGATACTCAAAAATGCACTCACCCTTAATGCAGCTTCCGGGAATCCCCGCGGCACATTCCTTCCCTGCTGACCCGCTTCTACCTGAGAACACGCGCCAGAAGTGTTTTTAGTCGGCGCCGTGGAAGACGCAGGTCGAAAATTACCGAGAGAACGGCGGTTTTCTTATCTCACAAGTTAAGCCTATCACACAATAGGAAAGCACAGGCAATAGAAATAATAAATACGGAACAGAAACCTATGTAATGCCAAGACACAATGTTTCGTTGGCAATAGGAGCTGTCCAATCATCTGCTTTTTGAAGCCACGTGGCTGTCCCAGAGTCTCAACTGTGATTGCACAGGTAGGTCAGGTACAGGAAATAGGGAACAGAAATCTAACGCGTCGGCTCTGTCCCTATTGCCTATTCCATATTCCCTATTCCTATCGCCTGTGCTTTCCTCTCCGTGCGGCGCGCGCACGAAATCTCGCTTGATCAGGCGCAGAAACGCGCTTTTCAATTTCACGGCGCATCGCGAGATGAACTCCGATGTCACTCCGATTTGCATTCGATAATTAATTCTACGTTCACCTTTATCGCGTTCACGTGGCGACACACATGCAATATAAATAGTTTTCCGGTGCGAAAGGGTTAATCAGAACAGCCCATTGTACCGCCGGCACGCCTCGTTAGCCGCGTCTCCCGCGATGTAAAATTTATCGGCCTTCGAAATTTGTATACAAAGGCGAGCGATTATGCGGAATACCGCGATCGTGAAAAGTCAAATTGCAAACGTGGTCGCGGACATGAAAAATAATTGCGCGGCTTATTGCGCTAATTAATTCGCAGGTGGTGATTGTGTATAAACTCGACAAATGCTGAAATACGAGCGTGCTGAAAGCGATGTCCGATGTATATTTCAAACCGAGGGGGAAACCGCTGACCAAAATCTTGTACACCAATGCCCACTAATGCCCAGTGGGCCTTACTTTATCTTATTATCTTATTTTATTTTTATAATGCCCCAGCAAGGCCCAATGCCCAAACTAATGCCCAAAAAATGTCTAGCAATGCCCAGTAATGCCGCAAATCTGTACACCACAATGCTCTCGGCGGTTCCCTCCCCCCCCCCCCCGTTTCAAACGAAGCGTTTTCCCCCGCGGAACAAGCTTTCGATATCTCGGCGCGAGGTGAAAACGCGTCGAACGCGAAGATACGACGCCGCGCCTCCACGATATCACTTGGATTTGCATTTCACAATTGATTCTACTACGTTCGCCTTTATCGAAACGTGGCGATACGTACGATGTCAAGTTTTTTATGTCGTCCGGTTTTAAAGTCCGGTGCGAAAGGGTTAATTAGAACAGTTCATTGTTACATCATACATAAATTCACGTTGGACTTTAGAAAAATAACGGAATAGTAAAACACATTGCTGCTCACATAAAAACAGTCGAGTGATAAAATACAAATTCACCGGATTGGAAGACGTAAAGGAGGATAGGTACTCCAATTTTGCAATTTTCTAAATCTCACGCAAGACTCTCAGAAATACGAGCGTTCCCTCGAATTATTTCTTATATAAAACAAATTTTCACTTAAATAAAACTTTCCTCACCAAGTGTACTATGCAAATTCGGAGTCGGCGATCGGGCCGTGGCGTCTAGAACTTTCGCGCGGTCTATCGCAAATCCCGTTGTACCAGCCGAATCGAGCTCGCGTGATTCGAGCTGATAACGTGACGCGCGCGCGATTGCACCCTCTTCGTCCGACGCGCGTCTGCGGGAGGCGCACGCTTCGCGAAGGCGCCGCTTCGAGCACCCTATCGATTGCTTTCGTAATAGTAGCTGAGTGCAACCAGTAACTGAATTCTGTAACTCGTAAAGGCTGGTTTACGCAAGGCCGTAACTGTTAACTTATGCCGGAATCGGTAAAAAGTTGTTCAATCGCCGTTAAAAATGAGGAGAATAGTTGACTGTAATTGGCTAATTTTTACCGATTACGGCCTTGCATAAACCAGCCTTTATGGGCCTGAGCAGAAAGACTGTCGTAGTCGTTTACAATTCCGGCGTTGGGACACGAGTCGGTGTCGGAAGTCAACGCACAGAGAATTGTCGTAAACGTTTGTCGCATCCATCGCATCGCGAGGCGACACGCAATTTTTTCTGCTTTGACTTCTAATGCCTGTACTACGATACGTCGTATGTCGCTGTCAATGAGACAAATCGTTCGATGAGAAAATTTCTCTTTTGAAGAGAAATTTTCTTACTGCACCATCGGCTACGTCCCGACATCCGACAGCAACATGCGACGTATTGTAGAACAAACCTAATGCGGGGTCTACAGTGCGAGTCGCAGAGTCGTAGTCGTATGAATTGTCGACTATAAATGCTCAATTTTTATGCGTCTGACGGAATTGTCCAATGACGGATCAATCGCAGCCAATTATTCTTACGACTCTGCGACTCGCATTGCGAACCCCGCATAAGAGAATTTCTTTTCAATTTCTTTGCTACGTTCCGACATCTGACAGCGACCTACGACGTATCTTCTTTGAAGAGAAACTTTCTCATTGGACCATCGGCTACGTCCAGACAGCGACGTACGACGTATTGTAGAATAGACCTCACACTGGCTAGAAGACCGTCTATATTAGAGGCAAGCAGTAAGAAGTAAGAAGACCATAGTGTTGGTCTACAACCTTGCTTTAAGTAAGCTGTAAGCTTTAAGCCGTAAGAAACTAATCAATCACAGGTGAGAGTGAGGGGAATAAATGCCTGTGATTGACTAATTTCTTACGGTTTAAGGCTACAATAGAGATTTAAACCCCAAGCCTTAAGAAAGTGACTAATCACAGTCACGTATTCTACTCATACTTGACTGTGATTGACCAATTTCTTAAAGCTTCGGGCTTAAATCATCTATTGTAGACTGGGACTTATCAGTGTAAAAGCTAAAGTACAGGCATAATTTTTTTAAATACTTACAGCACTCGTCGAAGTGCGCTCTAATTCGCCGAGAGTGAGCGTCAGAGTAGAAGTAGGGGTAAGAAATGGAAATGATTCGTTTCTTTACTTCTACTCTTACATTTTACGCCAGGCTTACTTCTTCTACTGTAGACGATCCCTTCACTTACGTCCTACGACGGAATCGTAAACAGTTACGACAATCTTTCTGCTCAGATCTCACAAAATTCAGCTACGGGCGCGACTCTGCCGCCGATATCTCATCGATCTTGCCCGGCGCGGCGACCTCCTGAGCGCCATTGCGCGCGCGCGCGCGTATCCCGGAAGCGTATCCCGCGCGCAGACAAAACAAACCAACCGAGCGCGATTCCGAATGGCACGCGCGGGAACCGGTCGCGTTAATCCCGCGGGGAACTCGCGAGGGACCACGAGATCGCGTCGACGAGCGACTGACACGCTGCTCCAGTCGCGCCGGGGCGGATTATCGCGCGCGCGCGCGCACGCTACAGAGATTTAGGTTAGCGTCGTCGGGATCGAATGCACACCCGATACTGGATCGCCGCCATTGGCTCGCGAATTGGCGCGCGGAGCGCCGCGTCTCGCGCCGCAGCGTCTCGTCGCCTCGGCGACCCGTCGTCGCGAGGAAGCGGCCCCGAGATCGCGACGGGCGAATCTCCCGCGGGAATAACGTCGCGCTACGCGGCCGAGGCCGACCCGCGTCACTCACGTGTCGGCGTCGCGTAAATAGCCGCGCATCGCGACGCGACGAGCTCGCCGGTACGCAACCGCGTCCGAGCGCGGCTCGCGAGGCGTCCCGCGGGACGCTGTCCGCGTCGACGGGACGCACCGCGGGCGCGCGGGGGAAAAGCAGGAAAAGCCACTCGGTCACAGCAATATTATACTCACTTTTCCGATAACCGAACCGCCACTCAGCTGTGGGCACGTGCTGTCACCACAGGTGCACGACCACGCTCCGCCGTCATCTTGCGGCGCGTTCGGGCAATCGCGACGCGGCGCGGCGCCGGTAATGTCGGTGCCGTGGTGATCGACGACGGGAAAAGAGAGGGAGAGGGTCACGCTCGGACGATAATCGACGGAGGCGGGCGAGACGATTTCAACATTTTTGCCTCTCTGCTTTCTTGTTATTCATATTACCTAACGGTTGACTCAGTCAACGGTTAATTAAGACACAACCAACCGTCCGAAAATAATCGGAAATTCATGAAATTTCGTTTTCTTTAAAACTTGCTGACCAACTTACGATGTACGATTTAATTCGCGCGCACTCATATGTGATAAACTGATTAATTTTCTATCAAATATAAAAAGAAATCATTCCAGCGAATCTTCAATCCGTTTCTAGTGCAGCATAGAACCGAATTAATAGCGAATTCGATTGCCTGCACTAGTGCGCACTGAGTGCACACTAAGGCCTGTTTATAGTCAATTTTTATATTTAACTTCGTCTTAAATACACGTTCAGAGAGTATTTAGCCAAAAAATGATCCGTTATTTTAAAATACGTTCAGTCGGCGTCAAGTATGAGCGAATCTAGTTCAGGAGTGCAGCAATAAAGAACAGACCCATAGTCGATTCCTATTTCAAAATCATCTTAAGTCCGGTATTCAT